CGTAACGCCTCTTATACACTTAAAGAGGTTCTCCACACTGAAAGTGTGAATATATATATATAGTATGCATTTCTATATATATATATATTCAGAACCCTAAACCTTACCCATTGCAACCTCAGGACCTGGAGATTAGGACTTAGGATTTAGGGTTTCGGATTTAGGATTTAGGACTTAGGGTTTAGGATTTAGGGTTTAGGATTTAGGGTTTAGGGTTCAGTGGCCCCTCCCAGACGTCCGGGGCCCCTCCCCGGACGTCCGGGGCCCCGCAGACGTCTGGGGTCCCCCCAAACATCCGGAAAGTTTGCTGAGAGTGCCATATGCATTGCTAGAGCACGCCCTAAACCCTAAACCATTTCGGCTCAGGAAACAAAGTGCGCCTGCAGCTGGTTCCGCTTCTAGCCGAACTGCTGGGCGGGGAGGCAACTACCTGGGGAGAGTTGCGACAGGGGTTTAGGGTTTAGGGTTTAGGGTTTAGGATTTAGGATTTAGGGTTTAGGGGAGAGTTGCGACATGATTATATGGGGGCTATAGAGGGATTATCGGGAATAATTATATTGGGAATATATTGGGATAATGGAAAATACAATGTAAGCTACTATAGTATATTTGGGTTTTAATCCATTGTAAAAGTAATAGTGGTAATAGTCTCGTATTATTGATAATAATAGTAATAATAGTAATAAGGATAGTACTAATGGTATTAATAGTAATAATAATAGGGAGGATGGTAATCAAAACAATAATAATAGCAATGAATCGTGTGTTGGCTACAGGCACATGTTAGGGATTTAGCTGGAGACTTACACGAATTCTCTGAGGATGCAGTCCACAACCGATTCGGTGCGCTGGCGGAACAGAGCAGCCAGCTAGCCACAATGCTGGATGATGCCTGCAGCAAGGTTGGAGGTCCAGCCTTTCCGCTGCCTATGGAAGAGGCCCAAAAAGCTTTGGACCTTTCCAGCTTTGCTGGACTTCCAGAGATGGTGCGCCAGGAGCTGTTGTGGCGCTTCGTTGCAAATGGATGCGACAGTTTCCTCAGCTACCCTGCTGTCAAGGCGATTGACTTCCTCCTCGCAAGGGACGAGCCGTTTACTTGGCCCTTGGGATCAGACTGGCAGCTCAGCAGGGCTGGAGCAAAACTCTTGCTGGGCAAGATGGAGAAGAGGAGCAAGCGCATGTGGGCAGTGGGCGACCTGCTGGTTGTTCAGAACTCTACGTCTGGCTTGTGCTTTCGAGTTGTTCGGAAAAGCACAGTTGACAACCAGCTAGCAAATCTTTCTGCGAATTCCGACAGCTCTTGTCACTTCGTCCTGTACAACCTGCCACCCAACACCACTGTGACTCTTCGCGGTGCTGAGCCCGGCGACCGCTTCTGCCCCGGACTCAGCTGCAGAGCACATCCGATCAAGCTCACCTACTTCCTCCACCGCGAGATGAAGGCAGACTGAGCATTTCATGGATATAGGGTTAACGGTTTAGGCTGTTGGAGTTGAACTCTCAGCCTAATGAGAACCCTAAAACCCTAACCCCAAACCTCAAAACAGGAACTTCCATCCATCAAAGGAGAGGAGCTGGCCCGACGGAAGGGGATCTCGAAAATCTATGTAAGACCCAGGGCTTAGGGTGCGGGGTCTAGGGTTTAGCGTTCAAGATTTAGGGTTTAAGGGTTTAGGGTTTTAGGGCCCCGTAGCGTAAACAAGCTTCAGGACAGGAACAGGATGCGAGCCGGACCAAGATGCTAGTGAGAAGGATCAAGCATGATAAAGATGAAGACGTTCCACAACATGTACGGTGAACGCTGAATACATGTAATCTTAAACTTACTATGAATCTTGTTAAGGTTGATACTATGGTTGTTATTCCCATTACCTATTGATCTTATTGAATTTGCTAGTTTAACTGTTATTACCGTAATTATTACTCTTGTCAAGGTTGATAGTATGATGAACATTATGATTAGTATTAATTTGCTGAACCCTAAACCCTAAGCCCTAAACCCTAAACCCTAAGCCCCAAGCCCAATGACTGAACGTATCAATGCTGACAGGTGCCGCGGGAGGCCAGACAAGGATGGCCTGTGATCACCGTCCAGGACGCGTATGTATCTTACTGGTGGGTTTAGGGTTTAGGGGTTAGAGTAGGCAAGTAAGGGAATGTAATTCCTACAGGGTTTAGGGTTTAGGGGTTAGAGTAGGGAAGAAGGGAATATAGTCCTTATATCACCCCTATGTAATCTCTCACCACAGTCCCTACTAACCCCCAGCAAGTTATTTGTCTGTGGTTTCCGGGAGCTTTTGACAGAGCTCTAAACTTTCAACCCTAAACTCCAAACCATAAACTCAAAAAGCAACCTAGGCCCTAAACCCTAAACCCTTAACCTGAAACCCCCTAATCCCTCAGCGGCGTGGCCGTGACGCGTTGGGCAGGCTCCGGGATTGCCAGCAGTTCTTGCAGCCGTTCTTCCTGCTTGGTCGGCAGCAGATTTCAGGGTTCCTAAGCTTAAGGAAGCACGTTTGGGGTTTAAGGGGTTTAGGGTTCAGGGTTTAGGGTTCTGGGGTTTAAGGTTTAGGGTTTGGGGTTTATTGGCGATGTGCCCCTGAAGTTCTCGCTGTCATCAACTGGTAGCTTCCACAAACTGATCTAAATAGTGGGAACCCAAGGAATACCCCCAGAATACTATGGTCTTTACTATGCCGACACCCCAAAAAAGTTACCCCAAATTTCGGAAAACCTTAACCCTGTATAACTGAATAACCCCTATATGCCCTTCAAAGGGATTACTAATTTTAGGAAACCCTAAACCCTATATAACCCCTATATAACCCCTAGACCCCTGTATCCCTCATACCCCCTTCAAAGGGATTCCTTGTTTTGGGAGACCTCCTGGGACCAAGGTGTCGAACTCAAGTCATCCGCCCGTCTTCGTGGAGGTGACCTGGACCGAACCCTGGCTTGGCCTGGTTACCAAAAAAGGGTGGTTTCCCAAAATTTGGGGTGCCATTCTTGGGGGTACCTATCATGAGGATTATTGTATCTTGGTGTCTATATTGGGATCGACTTGTTTTGGGAAACTACCGAATTCCTGCCTTTCTGGAATTACATGGCAGTTGCGTAAACGCTGAGTTCATGCTTGCATGCACTGCAGCCGCATGAAATGCACTCGGCATGTGGATGAAGACCTCAAGCATGAGCCAGCTAGCTTCTGCACTGAGTCAGCGAGAGTTAGCACTTCAAGCTCCTGGCTCCATGAGTCAGCCAGCACTTCAATTCTCCTTGCCAGGGATCTGCTAGCCAAGAGTTGTCCAGTATAGTTGCCCAGGATAAGATTTGCCTCCACAAGCAAGCTTTATAGTTTAGTGATATGACGTGATCTTCATGGACGCGGTGGGGGCTGCGGCCGCTACTGCGTTGCTTTGGTCTTCGCCAGGCATCAACTCTGCTAATTCAGTGGCCGTAAGCTTCAGCGGTGTGTAAGACAGATTCAAGTTCCTGTCATTCTTCAAGCTCACAGAAGCGGCTTTTGACGCCTGTTCCCCGCATTCGAACTCTGGGTGGCTGATGAGGAACTTAAACTAACTTACCATATTAGGGTTATACAGTGCAAGACAGGGTCCCCTTGTTATACTCGCGTAATTTAAGTTCCTTAACAGCAACCCAGCCGTGCAGATGGTCAGCGGCCGGAGTCGGAAGAAGAAGGTACCGAGCCCCCTAGTGATCAGGAGAAGGCTCGCTGGTGCTTCCTCGACTGAGCTATAGCCTACACTCCTTAAAAAGTTTACTTAGTGGAATTTTTAGGGGACTAAATCAGGAGTTTAGACTATAGCTCAAGTCATCTTGTTGAACGGCCATGTGCTTCAGATGGACGGAACGTTTGCTCAGGCAAATGTTGCTTGTCCACCCGCAGACACGCGACTTGGATAGCGTCAAAGCACCTTTGTCTCTTGTATCGAACGTGGAAAACAAAGCTGCGACTTGTCTCTGAACTTGCGGTCTCAAGGCTGGTTAAGCTTCAGAATTTCCCGGCCTCCTGGCTGGAGGTCGTGCGAAGCTGAGTATAAATTGAGGAGGCAGCATATGCAGTGTCTGCTCGCAGGAGGGCAGCCGCATACTGCTTGCAGAGAGGTTGTCCAAACTGTCAGCTGCTTAGACGCCAGACGCTTGTTTCCTCCAAAGAGCCCAATACCCCTTAATTCAAGAATATTCCTTAAACCATAGTAGGCATCCTGGTATGATGTAAGGTATATTTCTTTATTAAGAGGTGTTGGACTTTCTGGGCCCCTGCCTATGCTCCGCCGCCAGTGCATCTTAAAAGGCTTGGACGCTTTGGAAAATTGGCTCAGGAGCCCGCCGGAGTCCCAACGGTGAGCCAAAATTGTATTGTATTACTGACTGTATATAGTATACTATCATATATATACATACTACTGTTAGATATTCACCATGTATTATTGGATATCTACAGTATATTCTTAAATATATAGAATGTATTATTAGCTGTGTTAGATATGTATAATATGTTATTAGATACTTCAATATATTATAGTCTATTATTGTTGTATTTCCTTTCATATTGTCTTGTATCATATTGACCATTATTATTGTGCTGTTTCATATCCTGAACCTTAAAGCCTAAATGCTATGCAACCTGAGGCTGTATATGGTAATTGTTCAACATGCCTGCCCCCAAAATGGCCATAACGTAGGTTCCCTGTTTGGTTAGGATCCCCTTTTAGGAAGCGAATTCCCAATGGTCGCTTCCTTACAAGGACCTTTAGAACAAACCTAGACCCTAAACCCTATACATCCCTAAACCCTAAGCGCTATTATAGCCCCTTTACAAGGACTTTCAGAAACCCCCCCCCATATGAGGCCGTCAGGGAGAAGGAGAGACCAGATCCAGGAGGCCTGATTTCCTAGGGTTGAGGGTTCACTCTTTAGGCTTTAGGTTTCAGGGTTTAGGGTTTAAGTTTCAGGGTTTAGGGTTTCAGGGTTTGGGGTTTAGGGTTGAGGGTCTGTTTCCGGGTTCAGGGTTTAGGCGTCCGGGTTTTACATAGGAGTAATGAAGGAAACCCGCAATGGTGTTGTGCTCCTGAAAGGCCCCGTGCTTTATGCCGCCTTCGAGGAAGCCTCTGCAGCTATGCAGGACCTGTGACTGGGACACACTGTTGATGGATGAAATCTGGCACCACCTAGCGGCCCTAAAGTACTGTAAGTCCTAGGACTTTAGGGATGTGAGGTGATACAAGATTTCCTCCATCAACAGCATGTACGTACGTTATACATGCCATAACATCTTTTAACATGATATAACACAGCAAAAAATTAGATATGATATGGCAGAATACACTATGACTTAGTACGATGTAATGCGATACAATACAGCATCATGTACTTTAATGCTACGCAGCATGATAAAGTATACTGTAGCGTCTTGAAAAATGCCTTGAATTGCACTACAATAGAAGGCATTATGAGCGAATTAACACTGTATGATATAACATGGCACTGCATGACGTAATGCGATAGTTCCATATACTACACTGGCAGATACCACATTTTTATTTGCGATGTTGTCTAATAATGTCACATAGCACCAGATGACATAAAACAATACAGCTTAATAGAGTATGGTGAATTATATTGCAGCTTCGTATGGTACAATTCAATCTAACGTAAGACAATACAATTCAACAGACTATGGTTTACTGACATAGAACTCAACAGAATACAGTGCAACATGATGTGGTATAATTTGGCTCATTCCCTTTACAGTTCCTTCTTTTGAAGGGTTCTCGCTGTTACTGCAAGGGGGAATTACCCAAGTTATACTTTATGTAGTATGATGGTATTCCCCTTAATTAACCCTATAATGGTTCCCTATATAACCCCCTATGTAACCCCCCGCTTGAAGGAGTTTAGACTAGAGCTCATATGAGTAGTATTTTGTTTGGGGATACTATGATACCCAATACAGAGTAAGATTCTATCCTCCTTTTGGGGTATAGTATCTTATATAAGGAATACAATCTTACTAGGTTCAACCAACCCTAATCCCTAAACCCTAAACCCTAAACCCTAATCCCCAAACCCTAAACCCTAAACCCTAAACTATATGACAGCCAGGCAGTGTCGAAGTTGGATGGCATGGATCTTCGGAGCAATTCCGAGAAGCGTGCCGCTGCAGGCTTCAAATGGACACGGTATCTAGGGTTTAGGGTTTATTTTTATTTTTTTAAACAAAATAAAGGGGTCCCTTGAAAGGGGATACAGGGGTTATGTCATGTAGGGTGGGATTTATATGGGTTTATGGAGTTTAGAGTTTCCATAAATTTAGGGTTCCCTTTAAGGAGAATATAGGTCACGTATAGGTATGTATAGGGATATACAGGCCTTGGGGTTCCTAAAGCTCTGGCCAAAACGTTTGGGGTCCTTTTGGGAGGTCATGTTATTTGGGATTAAGTAACATCTGGGGTTGATGCCAGGAATATTTATGGAAACTACGAGAGTGTTGATGAATGCAACAAGAGGTGAGGCAGCCTTTTTCCTGTCTCTACACGTGACATTCAGTGCTTGTGCCTGCAGCCCTAAACCCTACACGGCTTGATGCATTGGCGTGCCATGCTTTTGTGGGATTTGCTGGCCGTTCTGGCCCTGATCTGTCTGAATAGCAACATCTTCCATGCTCCAAATGCACGGGTTTAGGGTTCAGCGTCCTGCAGCCAAGAAGAGAAGCTGAACCACGCGCAGAAAGCCGGCAAGAGAGAGCCTGACAAGCAAGCACTTGATAGCGTCTCAGCCCGTAGCTGTGCTGAAGCTGCCGGTCAAGAATCCAGCGGTAAGGAATACCCCAATCGGTGTATAGTCCCCTGTTAACTAGATAGAATATGGCCGTGGATACATTATAATGAGATCCCTATACCCCATATTCTGTTTGCTTGGGGGACTCTATCCCAATCGGTGTAAGCACAGCTCCAGTCTTCGCACCTTCCAGCTCGAATGGGCTGCGGTACGTCAGGATGCCGTAGGGGTGGTAACTTGGCTTGGTGAGGTTTGATTTTTGCAGTTCCGTCAAGGGGGGTTTTATCGGGTTTAGGGTTGAGGGGGTTATAAAGGGGACTATATACGGGAGTATTCTAGCGGTTCTTAAGGGGGATACTAGGAGTTTGGACTATAGCTCATGTACCTGTGCACGTTGCATGCTTCTGAACTTTGGTGATCCCCACATGAGGTGTGTACGACCCGAGTCAGCCCCTGATGGGAGCTGACTGGCAACAAAGACTACCTCCTTCGCAAAGGCTGAAATTTCTTACTGCTGTGGGGTTTTCCCAAAATTAGGGTACCTTTTGTGGGGTCCCTAGAATCAGGATTATAGTATTTTTGGGGTCTATATTGGGGTTCCCCCTGATAGGTAAACTACCAAATATGGTGCGTTTTAATCTGTGAAGCGAGGGTTAAAACCCTCAACCCTACACCCTAACCTAAACCCTTAACCCTAAAGCCTAAACCCTAAATCCTAAACCCTTAACCCTTAATCCTAAACCCTAAAGCCTATGATGATATGGTAGTTTCCATTCTCTTCCGTGGAGCGAGGCGTGGCTCCAAGCCCACTCTGCTGGCTGGCAGAAAGGCGGCGGATGCGGAAGAGAAGAAGGATGATCTAGATGAAGCTGATGCGAAGGAGGCCTGTAGGGTTTAGGGTACAATTGGGTTTAGGGTCTAGGGTTCAGTGGGGTTTGGGGTTAAATAGGGTCAAATACGGTTTAGGGTCTAATGGAAAAGAAAATGGAAACTACTATCTAGGGTGTAGGGATTAAAAGGGTTTAGGGTATATATGGGTGATATAGGGAGAATGGAAAAGAGCATGGAAACAACTATTTTCAGGGTTTAGGGTTTAGAGTAGAGGGATGTATAGGGTTGTATATTTATGTATAGGGACAATGGAAAAGAACATGGAAATTATTACATCGGGCTACATAGGGACTACTATGAGGACCCATTCCTTCATTTTAAGGAGGCCTGTCAGGGCCAAATGTACGTCTTCATGCTCTGGCTTGTCCTGTCCTGCAGGAGGTAGTCACGCAATCTACTTCCAGCACTTGTGCGAGAAGGCATGCCCTGCGGTGGCACGTGGTGCGGTTTTGAGTATCGGATAATGACACCTGGTGCTCACTACTATTATATTATAGTAGTATCCATTTTCTTTTCCATTATCCCAAGATAAACCCCAATATACTATAGTAGTTTCCATTTTCTTTTCCATTATCCCAATATAAACCCCAATATACTATAGTAGTTTCCATTTACCCCAATATTATGACCCCATATAACCCCTAAAATCCCTGTAGTTTCCATAGGAATGCTACCGGCGCTATCGCGACACCAAAGCGGGGGGCCCGTGCCCGACCAGGCAGATATTTGTCCAGTTGAGTTATAGTCCGAACTCGTAAAAGGGGGGTTATATGGGGGATTATGAATATAGGAACATTCCCTAAAGGGGGGTTATATGGAGATTATATAGGAATTACTATAGGGGTCATTCAGGGGAATACTAGGAGGTTAGACCATGGTGCAGTGGGTCGGAGACTCGGAGTCTCTTGCCAGAGTCAGCAGCTGCAGCAGGCAAGTCGCGTGGTGCGGCTGTAGCCGTTTCCCCAGCTTTGTCAGTTATGAGGGTGGTTGTTAAAATTATGGTCCCTTTGTGGATCCCTATTATAATACGGCAACTAATACTTAGTGTACCAAAAATGGATCATAATTTTGACAACCACCCATGAATGGTTTAAATAACGGTCGCAGGCTGATTCTAAATTTGCAATACTTGCTCTGCAGGCACTTCTGGCCCAGTCAAGTCCGCGGGGCTCAAAGGAAGTCTCACCGGCAGAGCTCCCAGCAGCTCAGTGCTTGCAAATTAGTACAATAATGTTAACCATACTACTAGCAGTAAGAATACATAAAATGACAATGATATAAACAGTAACAATACCAATGACGGTACAAGTAATAAAAGAAACAATCATGATAATGATGACTTAAAAATAATAATGATAATAATGATGATAATGATGATAATGATGATGATAATAGTAATAACAGCAGTAAGTATCATATCATGAGATAGACCCCAAACCCTAAATAGTAGTTTCCATTTTCTTTTCCATTATCCCAATATGTAACCCCAATCATGAGATGGTCTTCAAGGCCACAGGATCAACAGCAGCTGCACCACCTTCCCAGTCAGAGGATTCTGTGCTGGGACAGTCTACGCAAAGCGTGGCTTGATGGCAATGAGTCCTAAGCCCTAGAACCTAAACCCTAAATCCGAAGCTCCAAACCCTAAATCCTAAACCCTAAACCCCAAACCCTAGATCCTAAACCCTAAACCCTAAACCTTAGATCCTCAGCTCCAAAACCTAAATCCTAAACCCTAAACCCTAAATCCTAAACCCTTAGCATCCTCTGCTCAAGTCAGGCGGACAGCTCCGACACCCAGGTCCCTGCGCAGCAGTATTACTATTAATTATTACTATGTATATTACTATTAATGTTATTATCATTATTACTATTAATAGTATATTCTTTGGGTATTAGTATTGTTTAGGGTTTAGAGTTATGATTATTGGTGCTGCTGTTATTGTTGTTATTATTGCTATTGTTGTTACTGTTACTGTTATTTGTACTGTGATAAGAGTAACAATAATGATGTTACTATTCTTGTTGTCACTGTCATTCTTCTTAATGTTGCTATTATTGTTATTACTGCGCAGCCTGCCTTGATCATCCTTGAGCCTGTTTTTGCTAAGCCAGGTGCACCAGGTCCACCGAAGCCCGCAGCCTGCACCTTCCAGATTATTGTGCTGCGGTGATGGATGCCTGGGAGGTATCAAGGGGTTGTCCCATGACTGCAGAGAGTTCACGGGTTCCGCTAGTATCCCCTTAACCCTACACCCTGAACCCTAAACCCTAAACCTAACTTGTGGGTTCCCTCTTAAGTAAGGATCTCTAGAGGGATTATGAGTCTTAACAAAGGGGGAACCTAGGCGGGGAAGGTATTATGGGGGAGTAGTACTTGGAGGGTCAGTGGGACTTAGCAAGTATATTTGTATAACCAAGATAACCCAAATAACAACCCCAGCTACTTACTGAGCGCCTCCTGACCCTCCAAGTAGGGGATCCATGAAGGGTTCATGTGCGCGGGCGGTGACGACATCTTAAGCAAGCCTCGCAAAGGCTTCGTCCCGCGGCTGAGAAGAAGCCAGAACGGGCACCTTGTCTGAGATGTCTGAGTTCCTTGGGTACTGGCACGGCAGCTCAAAAATGCTTGTTGAGAGGATGAAGCTGCTCCGTTGCAGCTGCCGCTTGGCCGATCTTTCCAGGACTTGGGCAAGTGAACGTGCTCAGCAAGCGATCAGCGAGACTGCACATGAACTATAGTCTAAACTCCTAGTATCCCTCTTAATAAAACCCCGATGATACTCCCCTGCATAATCCCCTATATAACCCCCTTTAAGCATTGAAGGAGTTTAGAGCATGGCTCACGTGACTCCACCAAAACATCTTGCAAACCCCCAGGAGCAGCGCGAATCTGAGCGAAGAGCCCGGCAAGCGGAGCTCAACAGGCGCTTCGCTGCAGCACAAGAAGCTGCCAAGGCGGGCAATTTTGCGACAATTCTAGTAGTAACAGCAATCTTCGTAATTTTAGCAGTAATAATCGTAATAGTAAGAATCGTGGCAATGATAGTAATGATAAATAGTAAGAATGATAGCCACACACACACAGCACGCTGTCGCACGCTGTTGCGAGGGCTTGTTACTCTCCGGCGACGAAAAATTGCGGCTGTATGCTTATCAGAAGCAGGCCAGCATGCAAATCTTACCTCTGGTTAGCTGGGAATCAAGGAATGCAGCAGAACATGGAAGCTGCCATAGTGGGTTATGTAGGAACCAGTATGATGATCCTTTCCTTCTTAGCTAACCAAAGGTAAGGAATAGGTGACTAGCTGCAGATCCCTGCAAGATCTCTGTCTCCCGCCCAGGCAATCGAAGGTCCCGTTTTTGGAAATCCGCCCAGTTCCTTGAATGTGACTGCCCGCTCAAAGTGGGATGCGTGGGCTAAGCTGATGCTTGGCAAATCTGGGCAAAACCTCACATGACATGTAGCTTTGGTGAGTGTTGCTTCCTTCTTGCCGACTGCTCCAGCTTGTTCAGGAAGTGCATGGAAAAGGACATAGCCAGGATCTCGGGCAACTGTTTGAATCGCAACCTTTGTAGATGTGCCTGGTGCGACTGTGTGGAAGTGCAATGACTTACTGATGGTTAGTAGGGAATAAGGGAATGTAAGCCCTATAAAATCCCTATACAGTATATTCACTTGTTCCCTACTAGGCCCCAGTAAGATGATGCTGTACAAGGCCAAACAGGGTTACTGCGCCCTCGTTGACAAGTTTTCGCCTGGTTGGAGGTCTCTCAGGGCAAGTGCAGGGAACATTTGGGGATTTCCCCAAACTAAATTCATTGTAATAGGGGTCCATATTATGGGGGGGCTCTTGTCATAATAGGGGTGCTTAGATAAATTTCGGGGAACAGGAAGTAATTTCAACCTTGTCTTGAGAGTGCACAGGTCTAGAGCGGGAATCTGAGCCTCGGCGACTGATCTGATTCCTCCTTTTTAAAGAAGCAAGACCGTTGCTGAAGCGGCAAGATCTATAGTCCCCGTTAAGTAGATAGAACATGGGGTATATGGGGATCTTATTATAATATACCCAACGCCATATTCCATCTACTTCAAGGGGAATATAGCAATGCCTTGCTGCTTGCCCGCCTTGCTGATTTGCCATTAGCAGTCTAAGGACGTTCCTCTATCATGGCAGAAAGCTGGGTAGTAGAGGTGTCTGTGGAGTAGTTGGTCTGCAATGAAGATTCATTTCATTGATCCCCAGTGGTTCTTGTGATGATCCCTCTGCTTAGAAGTTGTCTGCAGCCAAAGCGTGTGCAAGCAACCCTGCTTGGCTTGTTCCTGTACAGTGAAACAGCTCAGTAATTACTGTTGCTCAAAATGCTCATGGTGGTTTACAGGAGGAACCACCTTGTTTATTGGGATCCCGATGCAGCCCCACCCAGACCCCCTGAAGGATCCAAAACATGGAAATCGTTAAAATGACACCCCTTGGTACATTGGTGAGACTGGGGATATTGGGAGATTCCATTTTTTGGATCCTTTAGGGGGTCTGGGCAACAACTAGGCTGGCTGGAGAACCCAAGATTCCACAAATGTGGATGGATTGAGGATCACAGGGCCAGTCACCACGGCGGCATTAATTCGGGCCGAGCGAAACAGATTAGTCTGCCAGGGGAGCTGTTCCTTACTGGTAATTAGTAGGCCAAAAGAGGGAACAGAATCCTTGTAATTCCTATATACTAGATTCCGCAAATAGGGGGACCCCAATATGGACCCCAAAATACTATAATCCTTATTATGGGCCCTAATTTTGGGAAACTCCCATATACTAGATTCCGTAGATTCCGTTATTCCCTACTAATCACCCGTAAGGTTCCTTGCAGTTGTGGAGTTCCGACCCACTGAAGTCCATGTGGTGGTTTCCCAAAACAGGGGGACCCCAATATAGACCCCTAAATATTAAAATCCTTATTATTGGGACCCCCAAAAGGTAACCCTAATTTTGGGAAACCCTATAAACCCTAAACCTTATATGTCCCCTATATAACCCCTATATTATCCCTATAATCCCCTTTAAAGGTACCCCTAATTTTGGGAAACCCCCATGTGTTGATCAGGACGTCCAGCCCATCCGTGGGAGCGATTTTCTGCTAAGCTGGCGTGAGCCTTGATGCTGGGGTTTGAGAGTAATAGTCATAAGGGCTTAGGGTTTAGGGTTTAGGGTTTAGGGTCGTAATGGTAAAATGTAATAGTAGTAGTTCTGGCAATAGGAATAGTAATGGGAATCGTAGTAGTAATAGTACTAGTAGTGTCAATAGCAAGAGTAATAGTAATGGGACTAGGAAGAGTACTGGTAATGGGAATAGGAAGAGTAATAGTAATAGTAATAGGATTGGGAATAGGAATAGTAAAATTGGGAATAGGAATAGTAGTGGGAATAGGAATAGTACTGACAAAAGCAATGGGAATAGAAGTAGAAATAGTAATAGGAATAGTAATGATGAAGGAAACAGTACAAGTAGTTTCAATGGCACCAGTAATAGTATTATTGCTGATACTAAAAAACATCCTGCATGACCTTTAATTACTACAGTCCCATTCTTCCCAAAATATAAGGTACTTAGGGTCATGCAGGATTTCTGGTATCCAGCGTAGTAATGGGTGTTCTCCTTTGAAAGGCCTGGCCCATGCCTATGCTAAGGAGTCAACTTCGCGACCGGGGCAAAGTTCCCAGAGGGCGTCAGTGTCCAGGATGAGGGTTTAGGGTTCAGGGTTTAGGGTTTAGGGTTTAGGGGATTTTCCTGGGTTGCTGTTAAGTTTATCTATCTATGTATATATGTATGTATATAAAAATGCTATGAAAAGGAAGCCCATTTCTCACCATAGACCTATAACCTGGCAACTTAATTTAAGTTCCTCAACAGCAACGCAGCCTCAATTTTGTGGAAAATACGCGTTCTTTTCATAATACAGGTCCCTGAAAATTTGTGGTATTTTCGGAACAGCAATTTAGATTAAGTCCCATAGGTCCCTAAACCCTAAACCTT